TTACTGCGTAAGATATGACCAATCCAATTAGCCTTCTGTTTTCTTATTTCGTGTAGGATATTCCTCTGCTCACTGACTCTAAATAACACTTCTTCATTTCTCACATAATCGGTCCAACTGATCTTCTCCATCCTCCTCCAGCACCACATTTCGAAGCCTTGCAGGTGTTTCTGATCTACTTCCCTAAGTGTCCAAGTTTCAGCCCCATACAAAGTTCAATATTATATCCGCATAATAATTTCGGAGATGAAACTTTCTGACCATCAGACCACCTCACCTTATGCCTCCATTTTATGCAATTCGTGGAAAGAACGCGCTAATACTACACGCTAACATGCCCGCGGGTGTAGTCCCACAAGGACAGCAGGCTTTGAAGCTAAGGATAATAAGTAGATTCGGTCCCGTCATAGATATTCTAACCACACACAAGAGTCTTGGCATGTGGTAGGAGAAGCAACTTGCAATTCTGAGAGAGGAGCTGGTTCCTGAACAGAGTTGCCTGTTTCCTTTTGGAACATATCCACATATGGCCAATGTATTATTATTATGATTATTATTATTATTACTTATTGATTCCTTCTTGAAACTGCGGGAATGTCATCCTCGAATTAAATAGAGACAAACTTGGGTCCTATCACAATGCACAGGCTGTCCATAAAAGAATTCAAGCATTTCAATTGTAGAGATGTATGATTGCGACAAGATAAATAAGAAAACAAATGGGGTCATACAAATGACAAAGTAGGGCCTACATTTCGTATTTTGATGTATTTTTTTCAGCATAAGTTTCATTTTTAAAACTCGCGCATTCTCTCTCCTGCCTTAATATGTACAAACACAGAACAAAATATATACCGGTATCAGAACAAAATCGCCTCTTCTGGCAAAGAAAATATCCACATGTCAGGGACTGTAAATAGGACATAACTGTTGCCGAATTTCGGATTATAGTGATATGCATTTACAACCACAAAAAATGGTAGGTAATAATTTATTCTTTGAAGGAAACGAAGATTAAGTCAATTTGTATTCAGACTTGCTATAAATTTAGGCTATTAAAATTTTTAGGAAAGTCTTAATAACTCAACAGGAGTGCGTAAAATATTGTGTGGCAGTCCCTAAATGTTAATTTTCTGATTAAGTAGATGGATGGAAACTGACAGATTTCTTAACCTCTCCTTTCACTAGACCTCTTTTAATTAAATTTCTTTCATTCATTCCCTATTTCTTTATTTACTTTCGTGAAGAACTAGAAGTGCAGTTAAGTTGGAAGCCACAACTACATTTATGCAAGATGATCTGGCGCGCACGGGGCAATACGGGTTGGAATAGGCAGCGTTACAAAGGGATGTCATATCGAAATAAAATACCAAATTTAATAACAAGTTATAAAATGTACTCACAGTAGAACAATTCTGAACTTTCCGCTACGTTATAGCCTCTAGACATCATTAGAAACCCATTACTTTAATTGCCTAGAAAGCAGCAAGACCTAGGCGTACGGAAAGTGTATATTGATCCCGAAATATATATTCACTCTCCATTTAAATATTTTTAAATTGGCAGTGGGTAAACAAACAACGCACAGATTTCATGTGGAGAAGTTCAATCTCAAGATATTAATTGAAGCAGAGGGTAAAAACAGCATCGGATTGAAATCTCAAACAGGTTCGCAATTTGGGAAACTTAGACGCTGAAGTGGACTTTAATAGAACCCCGGAAACTATTAGAGAGAATAAAAAAAAAGGGCAGTCAAAGAGAGTCTAGGTTATTATGACCTGAAGAAACATAAGCCACGGTTAGACGAAGGATACTCAAAATTATTAGACCAAAAAAACACAGCAAAATCGCAATGGTTAAAGGAACCAAACACAATAAACGGGGATAATCTTAACTATATAAGACGTGAAACCAGCAGGCATTTCAGGAACAAAAAGAGGGAATATCTGAAAGACAAAATTAATGAGCCTGCAACGAACAGTAAGAACAAAAACACTATTGACCTGTATATAGGAATAACTGAATTTAAGAGGGGTCACCAGCCTAGACGTATCTAAGTGAAGGATAAGATTGGTGATCTGCTTGCAGATTCCCCACAACATTTCGAATGGGTGGAAGAATTATTTCTCTCAGTTATTGAATTTCCATAGTATCAGTGATGTTAGGCATATTGAAATATATATACGGCTAAGCAGTTAGTATCTGATCCTAGTATTTTTGAGGTTGAAATTGCTATGGGAAAGTTCAATGAGTACAATTCGCCAGGTAGTGATCAAATCTGGCGGAAATTATTCAAGCAGGAGGTGAAACATTGAGAGTCTGAGATCCATAAACTCATTAATTCTATTTAAAATTAGGAAGAACTGCCTGTCTAATGGAAGGAATCTGTTACTGTACCAGTTTACAAGAAGGACGATAAAACTGGCTATAGTAATTATCGTGGGATATCAGTGTTATTAATTTCATATGAAATTATTTGGGATCATCAGTGTGGATTTCAACGTGGCAGATAAACTACTGATCAGATTGAAGAAAGTCGTCTTCTGGGTTTCGGAGGAACGTCGACCAAAACGAAGAATACACGGCGCCTAAACCCAGAAGACGACTTTCTTCATAGTCATCGCCGTGAAAACCTCAAAACTTACATAGTATTCCTCTATGGGGAGGCTACCCATCGACGCATTCGTAGACTCGAGACGCTGCGTACCAAGAAGTCCAAGCTACTGTGCAACCTTCCCTTCCTCCTTAGATGCAGAGACCATGGCATCATACCTCACTGCTACTGCTCTCTGCATTCCAAGCCATTCAACTGCTCTGAAGATGGACGCGATACGTTCATCCGAAACGTCGGCCAAAACGAAGAATACACGGCGCCTAAACACAGAAGACGACTTTCTTCATAGTCATCGCCGTGAAAACCTCAGAACTTACTGATCAGATTCTTTTTGCATTGGTCAGATACTGGAGAAAAAATGGGCGTACAAAGGGGCAGTGTATCAGCTATTCACACACCTCGAGAAAGTTCACAATTCATTTAGTAGGGAAGTACTGTACGGTATTCTTATACCTAACTAGTTCCTACGAAACTAGGTAGGCTGATTAAAATGTGTTTAAATGAAACCTATAGCAAATTCCGTATAGGAAACATTTGTCTGATAATTTTCTTATCCTGAATGATCTAAAACAAGGAGATGCTTCATCGCCACTGCTTTTCAACCTTGCTTTTGTATATGGCATTAGGAAGGTCCCAGAAAACCATGTCAACTGCAATTAAATGGGATACATCAGCTGTTGGTCTATGCCTACGATATGAATCTGTTGGGTGATAATTTAGATACCATAAAGAAAGACGCAGGCTTTAATTAACACTGCTAAGGATGTTGATCTAAAGATAGACACAGAGAAATCTAAGTATATGTTGTGGTCTTGTCACCATAATGCAGGGTAAAATAATGATAGTCAGCAGGTGTTTTGAAAATGTGGCACATTTAAGATATTTGGGAACGACTATAACAAATCAAAACATGATTCAGGAGGGAATTAAGAGGAGATTGAACTCGAGTAATGCTTGCTACCATTCAGTCCAGAACGTTTTGTCTTCTCGTCTGCTGTCTAAAAACATATAAATTACGTAGAACATACAGAACTATAATTTTGTTTGTTGTTCTGTATGGGTGTGAAATTTGGTCTCTGATATTAAGGGAGGAACATAGACTGATGGTGTTCGAGAACAGGGCGCTGAGGAGGATATTTGGATCTAAGGGGGCTAAAGAGAAGAGAGGTTGGAGAAAACCGCATAAAGAGAAGCTTCATAACTTGTACTCTTCGCCAAGTACGTGTATAATTAGAATGATCAAGCCGAGAAGCATGACATGGGCGGTCATGTAGCACGAATGAGGGAGAAGATGAATGCATGTAGGATATTGGTAGGAAAGCCACTAGGAAGACCAAGATATAGGAGAGTGGGTAATATTAAAATGGGTCTTAGAGAGAGGGTATGGGTTGGTATGGACTGGATTGATCTGGAACAAGATAGGGACCAGTGGAGGGCTTTTGTGGACGTGGCAATGAATCTTCGTGTTTCATAAAATGTTTTGAAATTCTTGAGGAGCTACACAACAGACGGCTTCTCAAGAAGGGCTCAGCTCCATGGACTTAGCACAGTATACGATTCGTGTATATTAACACTATGCAAAGAGGATGTTGCCTTTACCTGGAAAGCACTACCAGAAGTGGCGAGTTGGGTGAACCGCATATGTTGAATAATGAGAGGTGGACCCGACAGGGGGCCAGTTACTGAGGGATTTCAAAATCTTGGAGACACAATCCCAAGATATAATACATACTGTGGAAAGTCTGTCCGGAAACCTAGAGATGTCAGTCCATCTATCTGCGCTGGTCATATGGAATGGAAAGTTTATTCGACTCAGAGCATATATTGTTTGAATTAATTTCCAAGTAAGTATTTCAAAAGTCCGGTTTTCTTTTGCTAGAAGTAGGGAGGCAGGTCTACAAAGAGAAACAGAACTCTACCTTTCTAGAGGTTCCCGGATTTAAACTCGATACAGAGTCATGGAAGATGGATTATTTGCGGTTACTAGCAGCGAGGGATGCATGGGAGAAAAACGGATTGGAAACAGGGTTTGGTGGGAAAGCTGGAAGGAAAGAGACCTCAAGAAAACCTAGATGTAGATGGGAGGATAATATTAAAATCCATCTTAGAGAAATAGGGGCGGGAAATATAGACTGGATTCCTCATTCCCAGGACAGAGACTAGCGGCGGGTTTTTCTGGACACAGTAATGATCTTCAGGAAATTTCTTGAGTGGCCGAACAACAGTTGGCTTATCAAGAAGGACTCGGCCCAGTGGAGTTACTTTGCAACGAGGGACAGTACTGATTGGTACTAACATGAGCCGTCTGACTTCTTCGAAAGGGGGTGGGGGGAAGAAGTAGGGGCATGCAGTTCGCGGACGGACATTAAAAGGGAGAAGCAGCGGCCCAGTCGTCACATAAGAGAGAACGGGAGTAAGCAGTCAGGTTCAAGGAAGCCATTTTGGACGGTTCCTTTTCATTCGAGGTCAGGTGATTCAAGGTTACCTAGTAGTAAACAGAAACGGAAGAAATCTACGTGTCGACAGAAGCTCGTGTTTCTGGGTTAATAGAGAATTAATTGGAATTGTTCTAGAAAAGATCATAGAAGGTTGTTTTCCGGTCATTAGTTCCGTGAAATTTCAGACGTTTAATTACTGAAATATATTGAACAAAGAATACGGGTTAATATTGTTGGAAGATAAACTGATTTAGACAGAGGATGTCCGTGACTCTGAGAAACGTGCTAATCAGTGACGCTGTAGATTCCGCTTGCGTGGAGCTGTTGCAGAGTCATGGCATCAACGTCACCTGCAAGTACAAACTGCCTAAGGACCAACTGCTGCAGGAGATAAAGGTGAGTCCGGTAAACAACTATAAGATCCATATTTCCTGCTTGTAGTGGCAACACTGTCACTGCGCTTAACATTGCGCCTTGACGACGTATGGGGCTGTGGAAATAAAGCTTCACACATGCTAACTCCCTGGAGCTGAGCCCTTCTTAACAAGCCGCCAGTCGCTCAGCCACTCAAGAATCCCCCATTTTAGGGAATCCGAAGGTTCACAAAAACCCTCCACTGGTCCCTATCCTGAGCCAGATCAATCCAGATCAACCACCCAATCTTATTTCTCTAAGATGCATTTTATCCCATATACATTCCCCTTAGCTTAGGTAGTTTATTCAGAGAATCCGTTTAAGTTGAGCCCCTTTGTAACACTTGTAACAAACTTATTTTTTACGGTGAGGAGTTGTTAGCCCCATGCCCAACCCCCAAGCTGGAGGGCCACCCCTTGTCGGCTGTCCGCGACTGCTTATTCCATATGTTCGTAGCTACCCTCCACTTCCAGACGCCGTCTCCTCCATCCGCAACCTGAGGATGCGCCATGCCGTGGTGGCAAGGGCCCACTCAACACGGTCACATTTTCTTAACTGTGGAATTGATGGAGATGAGGGGGCATCTCGACGTTCCAGTTTTATCGCTGTTATGCACTGAATGTGAGGCATGGTGAGTCTCAGAACCAGTCTGGACCGTCTGGACATGGTGTCAGACATGTAAACTTCTCCCCTTGCTGGGAGTCGAAACTCTGTCTCCAGTTATTACCCAGTCACTTTACTTGCTGAGCTGTCACTGCTCAGTTATGTACCTTTTTATTCGCACAGTGTTTTCGAAGAAGAGTCAACAAAGACATACGTATATATATCCTACTGACACAAATGTGGGTCCCTTCGCTAAACATGTACACTGAAACCGTCCTTAAATCAGTAAATACATAATGGCGACCAAAGTATTTGTCAAAAATGCGGCGGAGAATGGACTGCGAGACAACACAGCGACCTACACAGTGTCAGGTAGAAATCGGTATTATGGTGCGTCACATGGCTCTTTGACGTCAGAGCTCGCTCTAACCGCATTCCTAGAGATCAGTTAACACCACTCTGACGTGCTTCAGTTCATCGGTAATCCTACACCTTTTTCGAATGATACAAAGTTCAGTGTGGTCAGCATTATCGAGTGCTTCTGACCCAGAAATGGCGGCCAAGTTAAAAATGGCACGGGTTTATTTTAAGTTTAACGCCTTAACACACTGGGAACGTTATGACAGTAGTCACAATGGAAACAAACAAACTGGAGTTGTGACCGTCCTGTTTATGTAGGTCGAATCAGTTTTTATTTATAATTACTGTATAACGTCAGTCTGCTTATTTGTATGCATAGGTTGTTTTACGTTATTTACCCTATTTTGAAAAAATAAAAGTAGGCTTGTGAAATCACCTTGCTGTCTGTATGTGTGTTCCCCTCTACCGTTGCTGGGCAACTACTCGGCAAACACGTTCCCGCTGCAACGAATAAACGCAACAATAGAAGAATTTTTGGGAGCTTCATTTTCTATGCGGCCCATCTCGCATCGAGGGTAAAGAGGCGATTAGTTCTTCACAGAAGGGGCTTTATACCGCCTCTGTAGCTGAAATTCTTTGTTTAGTTATAGTTTAGTTAACAACGATTTCAGTAGCTCAAGTTACGGAACATCGATGATTACTGAACTATTATTTGGAAGGTATGTGGAAGGACGAGATCGTGGGCTACTTTGTGGTACTATTCCTGTATATTCCTGGAGAAACGGAGGAAAATCACGAATATCCTCAGTCAAGATAGCTGATCTCCGAGCCAATTATCAACCCCAGACCTCTTGAACACGAAATAGGGGTGGTAATTACTCGAACCTGATATTCGGTAATAGGAAGCCGAAAGAATGCGAGGATATACAAAACCTTAATAGAAAAGAAAATGACGCCGCTTCTTCTCTATGACGTCAGAATTTACGCTTCTATGTTATGAACTTCTCACAGTATAATATTTCTGTTTACGCGCTCCTACACCAAATAATGAAGCACTCACGGGAAGTTTCGAGGTAAACAAGTTCCAAGCCAGTCTTCCTGTGCGGAGAAATAAACACGAGTTTTGTAACTAGCGCACGGTACTGTGAGGTACATGATATCGGTCGAAGAGAAACAGTCACATGGAAAGTCAGTTTACCTTTCTAAGAACCAGTCAGTCGGGAAGTCGGTTATGTACTGAATGCACGAGCCAGCAAATCTGAAACAGTAAATAGTAAATACATACGACATGCGTATCATAAAAAAAGTTTTATAAAATATCCTACGCATACATTATTGCATGCAGTCCTCGATTCAAAGAGAAGAAGTAGAATTTTCGTAAAATCTAAACTGGAATGTAGATACACAGCTAAAGTAATCAAGCACTTCAGTTAAAGAGGTAGGAAATTTCTCGCTAACCACTCAAAACATTTACGGCTTCAAAGGCAGGCGTTGTGACTTCCAACACCCTTATCCTCTGACAAATCCTTTACCATACAATTGTCACAAAAATAAAAAGAATACAAACTCCGTGGCCTGTAATCCACAAGCGAACTATACTGACCGAGTGACCGCCGCTTGTCATTGAAGTTAGTGCAAACCTTTGCGAATAGAGGGTGTCATGTGGTCTGCGCAACGGATCCCCAAGGCCGTTAATCTCGGTTTCCTAGACCGGAGCACCTATTTCCTTGAAATAGCTCCTCAATTATCTTCACGAGGCTGAGTGAACCCCGTTCCAGACCCATTACTTCTCAGAAAATCTGGTAGCGCCGGGAATAGAACCCGAGACCACTGGATCTGTAGCAAGGAACTCTGACCACTAGACCATAGCTTTTCGAATATCGATTTTTAATATGGTGTGACTTGTCATTGTTGTTCCAAATTATTTGAACTGTACCACCTTCTCAAAGAATCTGTTAGCTAGCCCTTTGTCGTGATTTTGCCCTGAGGAGACAGCAACATACGTTTTCTCTGTTTACTTCGAGACCAACCTCCTTGATAGCGTCAATTAAAGTTTATCTGTTTTTCTTTATGGTATCTATATTATCACCCAGTAGATTCAAGGTCTATATTTAAATGTTGGGATAAGATCGAAAGCTTAAATATCCCATTAACAAATCTTTGACACTGAAAATAAAGAGAATTCTAGGAAAACAGTTACGATAGTAATGACAGTAATTTCCCATTATGAAAACTAGTTCACACATGTAGGACTGAAATTGAATGGGACATATCAGGTGTTCGTCTATTCAGATGACGTAGATCTACTGGAAGATAACATATATACCACGAAGAGATTCACAGACGCTTTAACTAACGCTATTAAGGAGGTTAGCTTAGAAGTAAACACAGAGAAAACTAAGTATATGTTGCTATCTCCTCGTCAGAATTCAGGGCAAAATCACGACAAAGAGTTGGTTAACAGATCTTGTGAAAAGGTGGTACAGTTCAAATATTTGGGAACGATAATGACAAGTCAAAATTTGATTCAGGCGGAAATTAAGAGGAGATTGAATTCGGGTAATGCTTGCTACCATTCAGTCCAGAACCTTCTGACTTCTCGTCTCCTGTCTAACAACGTAAAAATTAAAATATACAAAACCACAGTAATGCTCGTGGTTCTGTATTGGTGTGAAACTTGGTCTCTGACATTAAGGGAGGAACATAGACTAAGGGTGTTTGAGAACAGGGTGTTGAGGAGAATATTTGGACGGAAGAGAAAAGAAGTGACAGGAGGTTAGAGAAAACTGCAAAATGAGGAGCGTTATAACTTCTACTCTTCTCAAAGTATAATTCGAATGATCAAGTCAAGGAGGATGAGGTGGCCAGGGCATGTACCACGAATTGGGGAGAAAATGAATGCATGTAGAATATTGGTGGGAAAGCCAGATGGAAAGAGACCACTGGGAAGACCAAGGCGTAAGTGGGTGAACAATATTGAAATGGATGTTAGAGAGAATAGGATGGTTTGGATTGGATTGATCTGGCTCAGGATTGGGACAAATGGAGGTGTCTTGGGAAATTCTTGAGGAGCTGTACAACTGGCGGCTTCTCAAAGAAGGGCTCAGCCCCATGGAGTTGGTCGGTTCAGATATATATCCCTTTGTACACCGAACGCAAAACCCACGACCTTGCAGTGGTCATATGGATGAACTTTGCAAGACCCAACTAATGCGGTCCACCTGTAATGGTCTCTAAGGAGAATTGCATTCTGCTTGGCGACATCAGTACCTCAGCAAGCATGTAGTTACACTCATTAACGTTCGAATAAAAAACAGAGTGGACACATATCTTGCTCTGTCCACTTGACAACCGGTTTTAACCAGATTCAAAGTTCATGCAACAGCTGTGACTGGTACACTCGCGTACTATCCACGTTAAAGGCGGAGTCCACAATCTCGGCTTTACAACTGAGCTCATAATTATGTAACTGAGGAGAGCCTGTCATAGCTTACGCATGTCGCGGCTAGAATTACGAATTCTGCCATTACTCATTCAGAAATCAGTTTAAAGGAAGGATTATTAGAGTACAATCTGAACAAACACGTGTCTCTTGTAGGGAAGTTCCGACATTCGAGGAAACATTGTCTTGCATGTCAAGTTCTGTTGTTGCGTTAAGTACCATACCTAATATCCTGTTCATATAATCTCTCTAGTGTCTGTATAACGTGTTACCTGCATGCTCTGCCAGCATTCGTTTAACTCTCTATAAGACGAAGCTCGTGCAGTTAATATTTTGAAAATAGTTCTTTCCTCCCAGAAAACACACTTCTCCTCCATTACAAAGACCAGTTGGTTAGTGATGTTTATGAAAATGAAAGCTGTTTCTTCCTGAGAGCAAAACGAACTTCACATTTTCTTTAGACGAAATGTTGCGTTATTTAATGTGAAAGCATACGGTATGCGTAGTTACCACTGCCCTATAAAGTGTTGACATGAGCCTTATCAGTTAGAAAATTACACCGACAAATCTGTTCTTCAGGGAGCACGTCGTAAAGAAAAGAAAAGATTTTGCAAGTAAACGCCAAGAGCCAAAAGAACACACACGCCCTGAATGAATACGTAATTAGATATTATAAAGAGGGAAAGGATCACTTATAATATTAAAAATTATTTTACAGGGCAAGTTATCACCCATTTTTAATTACAAAATCAGTAACCAATCTTAGTATTTAAAATTCGTTCTTACATCCACTTATCTCATTCACTGAGCTTGGTTCGGACGTTTTCACCGTGCGGCCACTGTACTCGGCAAAATATAGGCCTGCGTCTGAATTCTATAAAAATATACGGATTTAAATTTAAAAAGTCGCGTGTAAGATCTAAGGTGGGCATTGATCGCGTAATTCCTTAACTACATTTTCTGACACAAAACACACTACTTAGAGCGCTGCTAGTGATTTCGAGACGGAAATCTCACATTCAGATCCTACAGAACAAATTAATTTTATAATTAAGAAATAATTCCCACTTGCAAATGAGCATGCCTACCTCCAAATCCACACTTGTATGAATCATGTTCCCAAAACTAAGAATCTCCTTGAAATGGTCTAATTTTGAATCCGACCGCCTCTGTGGATTCGTTGCGCTGACCACGCGACACGTTCTATCCGCCCAAGTTGGCATTAACTTCGCCGACAAGCGGCGGTTGCTCGGTCGGTATAGTTCGCTTGCTGACTACAGGCCACGGAGTTTGTTTGTATAATATGGCCGCGACTTAATGATCTTTCGTATTAGCGGTAAGCTCTGTCAACCCCGAAAGACTCTACAGTGACGTCAGCTCTGCCTGCCTCGAAATATTACTGCCCGAAAATCACGTGCTAGTTGGGCGCGCAGTCAATTGTGTTTTTTATTGTAACCACTTCTTCACTACCACAGTGTTCTTGATTGCATTTTCACACTATGACATGTGGACATAAGCAAACATCTGACAGCAGTGTTAGGATTCTCTCGCTCGATTTAGGGGCTGCTAAGGCACTTACATATAGGCGGGACCACGGATCATTAAATCACGACTTCACTGCGAATGCAAGAACATGTAGTTTATTTATTCCTAAGTTTCGCTACCATAGTGTACACATTGTAGATACCAACAGATATTTACTAAGTGCAAGTCACATCGAAAATCATAAGAAAAAAGAAGCTGCCGGTATACTAGATATTATATGTTTCAGAACTATGATGGGCTGATAGTGCGTTCAGATACCAAGGTGACAGCTGATGTATTTGCAGCTGCTGCAACTCTCCGTGTAGTTGGTCGTGCAGGCACAGGTGTTGACAATATTGACATTGAAGCAGCCACAAGAAAAGGTGTGATAGTGCTCAAGTAAGTAACACTGCTGAATCATACCATGTTGTCAGTGTTCATATGACTTAGAGGTCTTTTAAAGTGTATCTATGATTATATATAATCTAGGAATGAAATTAATGTTCCCTTGTTTTTTTTCTAGTACTCCTGGAGGGAACTCAGTCAGTGCATGTGAGCTGACATGTGCTCTGATATCAGGTTTAGCAAGGTCAGTATAATAACGGGCCCAAAATCTGTTTTCTTTAATGCTGCCAGCATTCTATAGTTCATACAATTTACACTGAAAATAGCCTTTGTGTAAGCACTGTGCCATGGAGGCATACAGGGACAAAAGGTAAAGCTTGATACATTTTAGATGATGGCAATAGATGGAGCACAGTAATCAGCTTCACACTCTAACTACATCATCCCATGGGAAAGAACACCTACTACAGCACAATACAACGCTGAATGCACCCTAGATCCTTCTCTATGTGCCAATACAAAGAAAAATTACTGCACATCCTGGCTAATGGAGCTATAAATGTTAACACTTTGAAAAGGAGTACACTTCTTTGCTTATTTTTCCAATCCTCTAGATAACATGCTCAATTTTAATAGTTAATATACATCCATCTACTGTTCTAAACAGTGGATTTTATTGAGTTTCTTACAAGTTTTGTAGGACTACTTTCACCCTTTAAAGCCCAGTGGTTACTGTATGAACCACCTCCTTTAGATTCTGACACTCTACATTCTGCCCACAGAGTGTATTTGTGTTTTTATAGTTCTCACAATAAACAGAAATTGTTCCCCCAAACAGCATTGACCCTTTAATCTTTGTAGCAGAGATGTAACATGTTTTCTATGAGGTACAAATTGAATTTTTACATTTTATTTAGAAGAAATTCAGTCTTTAATAAATTAATAGGATTTCAATACATTGACATGTATAAAAGCAAGTAGGATTGTACTTGTGGTTGCACTGCATGCTGGTTCTGAACCACGCAACACATAAATCTGCAACCTACCAGACTGTAAAGTAAAATCAGGTAATGAAACTCTGATACTAATTATGATTACAATATTTCCTTACTCAGTTATAGGACAGGTTGATTAGAACTGGAAGGATGGGTTGTGGTAGTAATAAATTCATTCAAAATGCAATTTTTTTAAAGATTTGTTGCCAAAAATAATTTTTAACCATATATAAAGTGATATGAATGTCACTGCCACTACACAAGTATTTGTGTCACCATGTTCTTATTAGCAGTTGTAGGAAATAAGAATGTATGAGATTTGGTTAGCTTCTAATAGCATAACATCCATAGTAAATTTTGTGAAAATATCATCTGGCTTGAGCATTGAAATCGCTTGTGCGTCCATGCAGATGCAGACACATACACGCACACACAATGAACTTGAAAGCTTACTTCAACAGTCTGGCTTGATAGACTAGAAGTGGAAGGCCCTTTTTTCTTAATAATCACCGTTTTCAATGAAGGCTTAGAGAAGAACATTATGACAGTAAATGTATCTCTCTATTATACAGGAATGTAGCACAAGCCTGCCAGTCTCTCAAAGAAGGGCGCTGGGATAGGAAGCTGTACACAGGATCAGAACTATCAGGAAAAACCCTGGCTGTGTTAGGCCTTGGTAGGATTGGACGTGAAGTGGCTACAAGAATGCAGGCATATGGCATGAAAGTGAGTGAACCGACATATCTTGTGTTTGAAATGCAGAGACTTAGGTGTAAACACTGGTAGCAGCAACTTTCATCAGTAATACCAAAGCCTGTCACTGGGCACAGTCCTCATCCAGTACCATTAAGATGATAATAATTACACTAAAACTTCTATGTGGGTCCAATCTCTCAAGGCAAACACTAATGTAGTACCTTACTTGCCCACTTTCTTCCATATCTTTTCTAGGTCTTCATTCACCATCACCCTATCATTCAATGCTATACAGTCTAAGATCCTGACAGCATAAATAGATGGTGTTTAAAACATACTATGGGAGATATCTGAACCAAAAACAGGAGAATGAACAAACTGCATAATTACGAGGGGCTACCCAAAAGAAGCCGAACTTATTTTTTTTTAACTTATTTATTCAAATTTTAAGCACAAACCTTCAATCCCCTTCAAAGTACTCTCCACTTACACTAATACACTTGTCTAGTCTTTTATTCCATTTTTCAAAACATTGTCTAAATTCATCTTTTGAGATGCTTGACAGCGCCTCCGTCGTTTTTTCCTTTCATGTCTCTTTTCATTCGAGGAAACAAAAAAAAGTTGCATGGGGTAAGGTCGGGTGAGTATGGAGGGTGAGGAACAGGGGGCATACATTTTTGGTCAAGAATTGTTGTACAGACAGGGCTGTGTGAGCAGGGGCATTGTCATGATGGAAAAACCAGTCACCCGACTGCCACAAATCTGGCCGCTGAGCTCCAAGTCACTCCCGACAGCTCCACAATTTCTTCAATGATCCGTCGTCGATCTTCCTTGATGATTTCACGAATTTTTTCACCATTTTCATGTGTTCGGGCCGTGGAAGGACAACCAGAACGGGGTTTTTGACATTTCACCATTTTTGAAACGGGAAAACCATTTCCCCATAGCATCATCCTTGTACGCCGTTTTTAACATTTCAAGAGTTTCTGTTCCACTTTTCCCGAGCAAGAAGCAGAATTTCACTGCCGCGCGCTGTTCACGAAAATCAGCCATTGCAAAAACAACGATCACACAAAACAGTTGTCACTATAAACTCTGCCGAAACTAGTCCTTACCTTCTGAAGCAACGGTAGTCGGCTTATCGACTCAGGAATGTTAGCTCTATGCGCTCATAGCGGCAAAACACGGTACTACAAAAGCTCTGCCCACAAAAAAAATAGTTCGGTTTCTTTTGGGTACCGCATCGTATAGTTTCATACTTCTCACTCTCCCACAAACATTATTCCCGTGATAAAATAAGGGGATGAGATAAATAGGCCATGTAGCATATACTGGGGATATGAGAAATGTATACAGAATTTTACTCAGAAAAACTGAAGGGAAGAGACAACCTGGGGGATCTTGGTGTGTATTGGAGCATAATTATTATAACAGATCAAATAATCAGTCAAGAACAACTGTTCATCACATCTTTAGAAAGAGAAGAATGGAGTTCCATATGTTGTGCCCTGATAGGGGGCATTGACTGTACTCACCCCCTATCGGACGTCCGTGAATATTATCACTTAACCCATGCTGTGGAAAACATGCTTCACTAGGAGGGTCACAAAAACTCGAGTTCTCCAAACAACAACAAAAATGGAATATATAATCAAATTAAAACACTTATACACCTCTAAATTAAAAAAAAACACATTAACCCACCAAAATAATTTGAACCAGAAGTTCTAATAAGCCATCAGTGACCCGACCACGGGCAAGTACTCACTCGCGCTATACATGATGCACATGAAAAACACTGGCGCCATCCCAAGGTTTTCCACAGGCACACTTTGCTTTACTCATCCATTTCTGGCAACTGCTAGAAACAGAGTGCCTGAAACGGCCTGTTTTCCCAATTCCAAGATTCAACTTTTTTCCCAAGTTGTGAAAGCTGCGCGTGCAAAATCCCTGAGGTCCGCATCTTGCCGGACATGCCTTGTCGCGCGAAGCGAAACCTGACCGGGTCTTTCCACTGATGTGTAAACAGTCATTTCTAAAGACAATTATATCGACTGCCAAGGAATGCGAAGAGTCAGCCGCGGCTGTCTCCACCACGCCTTCCGGCCAGCCGTCTAACATTTTAACCTAGGCACACAATCTTACAAAAATTATACTTAATAACTAATGAAATGGGCTGAACACATAATACCCTGAGTATCCACACCAGCAGATCAACATATCGATATTGATTACATGATCCTTGATAAAATAACAATTTTTTATTTGTTAGTGCAATAATATTTAATATTTTTCTTCTCTAGACGATTGGTTTTGATCCAGTGGTTTCTGCTGAGTCTGCTGAACAGTTTAATGTAGATAAATTGGAACTGGAGGAAATATGGCCCCTTGCAGACTATATCACTGTCCACACTCCACTTATTCCACAGACAAGAAGTGAGTGTAATACCTAAATGAAATATTAACATTGTATAGGTTCTTGGCAAACAATATGCAATTGGGACCAACAGTAACTAATCACAATAGCATCCCAAAGGAGTTAAGAGAAGGGGAATGGGGAATGTTTGCAACTGCTCAGTAAATAATCTTGTATCTTCCAATATCCTACTAAACACCTACAGACTAAAATACATAAAACTGTTGTTTCTACTTGTCTTAGATTGTAATGGAATTTTGTTTTGTGTCCTAAGGGAAAACAGAGACAAGGGGTACTTAGAAGTATAAAAACTAAATTTAATGCAAATGCAGTTTGCTGAAAATTATTTTGATGATAGTAACTTCAGGATATTTAGGTTTAAGAGATATGTATTTGTAATTCTTCACCAAATCAGCAAAGTAGGAAATGGTTGGGATGCTATTAAAATGTAACTTAAATAAATAACTTGTGAGGTAGTGAACTGGCTTCAGTCAGCTCAATGGTGGGGTCTTGTGAACACAGCGATGACAGTGAAGGTTCCACCAAAGGCAGAAAATTTCTTAATCAGCTGGGTGATTACTGGTATCTGCTTCTCTAGGACTTTTTCATGAAGTGGTGAATTAGTTATATAAGACTTAGGATAAGTTTCACCGTCTTACGTGCAATGTGTCCTTCAGAAACTTGTTTAAAAGTTTCTTACATCACACAATGCGTCTTTTTAAACCTTGTTTAAAAGTTTAAAAAGACACATTGTGTGATGTAAGAAACGTTTAAATAAGTTTTAGAAGGATGCATTGCATATAAAACGAATCGGTGACATTTGTTGAATAATAAATGATGTGCGACAGGATGCTACAATATAATATTATGAAGTGTAACATACTAACATAATGTTTTCAAGTACGATTTTGGGAAGGGGAAGTTAATATTCAGTGTAATTTCAACAAGAAAGGCTTAAAATGTTAAAATGTTAGCATGAAACTCTTGACTTCTAATCTTAGACATTTTTATGACACATTTCTGCCAGATGCACATCACAGTTTTGTTGTTGTTTCAGATTTAATAAATGAGACAGTACTGAATAAATGCAAGCATGGAGTGAGAATAATTAATGTAGCAAGAGGAGGCATTGTAGATGAAGCAGCTCTACTTGATGCACTTAAGGTATGTACTTCTTGGTACTGAAAACAAATTATTAGTTCTGCACACTAGCCCAATAAGAACAAGAGAAGAAAAAGGGTTTACAAAAATAATTGAGCTCTTTTATGAATATGAACATATATGTACCAGTACACAAAGTATGCTCAACAGGAGCCTAACAGTGGACCAAGATATACCAAAATGAAGTTCTCTTACAGGTTTTAGTGTATACGTCCCTACCCTCCAGTATAAAATTTGGAATAATGCTGGAAAATGAACATAAGGTCGTAACCTTCACCTTATATGATAATTATGCATTCTCTGCAAAGGATGAAATTTGTCTAAAACGTCTTTGAATGTATGCAGCCTTGATTAGGCAACCTTACAGAAGAAAAGTCCTGTGTGTTCAATAGTATCTACAGTATGACGATTTTGGTTTCCATCATACATCATGATTAAAATCTAGTAATTTGTAATGATGATGAACAATCTGTGTCACTACCTGAAGGTGATGCACCCTTTAAGATATTTCAGACACACTATAGACGCCATACTCTTGAGATTCAAGCAGATGGCAAATAATTTTGTTATTGAACTGAAGTTGGAACAATTTGCTGTAGGATGGACGATGCGGTGGAGCGGCACTTGATGTGTTTTGTGAGGAGCCACCAAAGTCTGCCATCACTCTGGAACTGATCAAGCACCCTGCTGTCATTGTAACACCCCACTTGGGTGCCAGCACAAATGAAGCTCAACAAAGAGTAGCAGTGGAGATTGCTGAACAATTTGTGGCACTGGCTACCAACTGTTCTGCTGCTGAACGGGCTCGTTATGTAGTGACAGGAGTGGTCAATGCTCCTGTACTCGCTGCTGCCATGATCCAGACCAATGCACCTTGGATTTCACTGGCAAATGAACTGGGCAAAGTGGCTGCTAAAATTATTCAAGGTGCAATACCTGGGACAAACATATGCATCAAAACTAGTGGTGAGCATGTTCATTGACTCTTGATTTACTGAATGATGCTTTCTCAACTACTTAATTTGCATGATATATACTTGCCTTATTTCTAAATGAGGAATTGGAAAGAATGTAGAAGGAAGCAGTTGTGGCATATTTTAACACATTATCCTAGAGGTTTCATGGTGATGCTGTGAGAAACCATGAAAACCATCAGTCATGATTATCTATTTACAGAGATTGGGATCTCTTGAAAATGCAGCATCATGTACTAACAACTCTACTGTTCAGAAGACCTCAGTGAATTCATGGATAGGCCAAGTTACACTGTACCCTGTTGTATGGGGCAGTCATTTGTTTAGGCTTGGTTCTGTAGCCATCTTGCAAATTGTTTCATGTATGGAGTGACTATAGACAGGTTTGGATTTACTGAACACTTGGTGAACATTTTTGCTGTGCAAACACACTTGTTTGTGAAGAGGTTACTTAGTAACGGCTGTGGTACATTTCCTTAGGTTGCAGCTGTTGCCCTGCAATAGGTCTACATGCTGAAGTTTCCTTTTTTTAACAGCTATTGCTTGACATGTTGCCTGTTTCCTTCTGTAGCTGGAAGTACTTCTGTGTAGCCCTGTGCTGGTTTCTGTGTATTTCAGGCAGTTTATTTTTTCATCAGATTATTTGATTGTTCCTTATTTTAAGCTCGATATTTTGTAACTCTATCAGTATTATTCTATAATTGTTTTTTTTATGCCGCATCACATGGTACCTTTTGTAGTGTTGCTACTTATCATCTGCAAACATCTGTCCATGCCAACCCTATAATTTCTGGTCCCCATTTTCTCCTTTCTCTGCTGCAGTTACTATTGGTTTTCATTCTTCGCTGCTTGTTGTCCCAATATCCCAGCACATCACAGGGGAAGCATGCATACCCATGACAATTCAGGACTGATCGGTTGAGCCCTCCTGCACTCCACACACCAAGGATGGCTCACTGTTATGTTCAGTAGTCAGATACTCTTGTTTGTTAGATTATGCAATGGTCCTGTATCAACTGCTGAAGCTGTTTAGTGTCATTCATCATAACTCCTGCATTCTGACAGCAATGTAAATACATATAAGTAACACACCCCATGTAATGTTGTCTATAGAGTCCACAGTTAAAAATAATTTTAGGTGAATCTGAGGTCTTATGAAATTCTCTCTAGATGTTGAAACTTCATATCCAAAATGTACATGTTATACTGAGTTACACAGCACCTAGTATACTGGTATTATTAAGCATTTTGCTCCCTACATGCTTGTATTAACCCTAAGGCAATATATATATACATATAAAAAAAGTAGAGCTATCCCTGTAACAGGCCCTGGAGGCCAACAGGGTTATGAGAGGTCGAGGCTCTCACATTTTATAGACCATCAGCTCACAGATGGCAGTAGGGTTGTCAGCCTTGAGCGCCGGCAACCTTTTACCCCCAGGAAGATTCCTGGTACTAATTTCTGTTAGAGGGCGCGTCAACCCTGGGCCATAGTGTGGCTGGAAGGATTAGGTCAACTGAAAAATCCAATGGCCTCATCAGGAATCAAACCCGCAACCTTCCAGCTTGTAACATAGTGCCTCAACCAACTATGCTACCACGTGCTCCAAGGCACTGTATGTAGAAAACATTAACCAAGCAATCGTAATGAAATCTAGACGGAAATTGTTTAATTTTACTGTTGTAAGGGTTACTCATAACAGCAAACTTTCACTGTATTCAATATTCACCTAAGAATTCTATATTTATATCTTGTCAGGTTCTGGTATGGAGAAAAGAAACTTCTTGGGTACTGCAGTTCTGGTTGGGATGCTGACAGGGCACACTAAGAATGGACTTAATCTTATCAATGCCCCAGCCCTCGCTAAGGATGCTGGAATTGAAGTGTCTCAGTCCCATGAAGGCCATAGTGATGTGCCCACAGTCACTGTGAAAGTGTCCCAGGGCAAGAGCATCTCACATTCACTGCAAGGTATGTTAAAATGTTCAACAGCAGTTATCTCATCAGTCATGTCCTTTACTATGCAGTATGATTACATTTAGTTGTACTGTGTTCAACAGCTATCATTCCACCAGTCTGTTACACCGTATGATTATTTTCTGAAGCAAAACAGACCACTGTAGGTCACGGTGCAAGGGTCGAGAAGGCCCACCCCTTATACATTCATCATACATGATTATTTTTGTTATATTGTCCTGCAGCTCTTATTCAACAAAACATGTCCTCTGCGATGCAGTATAATTATGCCTGGTCAGCTGTTATTCCCTCAGCAATGTCCTCTATTATGCAGCATAACTGTATCTGATATATTGTTTAACAGCTTTATTTCACTAATAATGTCCTCCAGTATGCAATATAATTACTTATTCATTCATCTGTAATCTGTCAAGATGACAGGTCCACAGTCTCTTCCAAAACAGTTCCTCCACTTGATGCGATCTAGAGCTTTCTCCTTCAAATGAAAATATCCTCTTCTGTCCCCAAGGTCATCCAGCATCTTCTTACGTCTTCTTCCTCGTCCTCTGGTCACTTCTATCTGCCCCTCTATCTTTCTTTCCTTCAATAACTTCTTTTAGAAGGCAGTTACCGCATAAGATATGACCAATCCAATTAGCCTTCCGTTTTCTTATTTTGTGTAGGATATTCCTCTGCTCACTGACTCTAAAAAACACTTCTTCATTTCTCACATAATGATCTTCTCCATCCTTCTCCAACACCACATTTCGAAGCTTTCCAGGTATTTCTGATCTACTGCCCTAAGTGTCCAAGTTTCAGCCCCATACAAAGCGATGCNTTACTTTTGTTTTCTCCACATTCATTTCCATGCCATAGCACCTTCCAATTTCAATTAGTCTATCAATCATGCCCTGTAGCACAGTTTCTTCCTTAGCCATTAACACAAGGTCATCTCCATATTTCACAGTTTGAATAATTTGAAGCCTCCAAGCACGTCCAGAGCTTCTTTGGTAAGGCATTCGCTGTACAAGTTGGACAAAATTGGTGATAAACAGCATCCCTGTCGAACTCCTCTTCCAATCTTCACAATTCTTGTCTCCCCTCTGTCCAGTCGCACACTAACTTTCTGATCCATGTACAATTTACTAATCAATCTTCTTTCACGCCAATCGATACCTGTTTCCTTTAGGATCTGCATTAATTTGGTCCAATTTACACGGTCAAATGCCTTCTGCCAGTCTATAAAGCAAGCACACAGTTCTTCATCTATCTCCAAAGTTCGTTCTGCTATAATTCTCATCCCAATTGCATCCCTGGTTCCTTTTCCTCTTCTAAATCCAAACTGATCCTCTCCAAGTATATCCTCTATTTTCCTTTCGATTCTTCTTTTGAGTATCTTTGCTATTATCTTTGCTGTATGTGCAATAAGGCTTATTGTGCGATGGTCGCTGCATTTTGTAGCTTTTGTCTTCTTCTTTAAGGCAATCATTGTCACTTCTGTAAAGTCTTTGGGCCACTCCCCAGTTTCATATATGGTGTTTATTAGTTTTGTCATATATGTTAACATTTGGTAAATTTTTTACCAGCTCCTATTCCATCAGTCACATGCTCTGCTGTGTAGTAAGATTACAATAGTTACATTGTTCACCTACTGTTTTTGTGCTTGTTGTCTCATCTGTTACAGTGTAATTACATTTGTTGCACTATTCAAAAACTGTTGTTCTATTCTTCCCAGTCATGTCCTCTGCTGCATATGTTTATTACATTGCTCAATAGCTGTTATTCTACAAGTCATGTCATGTCATGTGTTTACAAAATTCAGATGATTAAATCTGCATTTCTTGTGAAACAAGACCACTAGTGTTACACTCCATCTACCATGGAATTGAGGGTATGTCATCATCAGTTAATGATGTAGGCATTATTAGGCAGTTCCTAGTTTGTATTTTTAATGTACTTCGAGTGGGAAATTAAAACATACTTACACACACGACATTCCTTCACTAAGGGTGTCTAGAGAAGGCATGAAATACCCTGTAGATGGACTATACCAGGTTTTCATATAGACTGACACTTGAAATACACTTCAAACAGTGCTTATTTCCCTTTCATTTTCGTAACCAAAATTTAATTCAAATTACTATTTAGATGTGTATTTCAATATTGCAGGAACTGTTCGAGCAGATGATCTACCATATTTGTTAACCATTGATGATGCAAGCTTCGGACCAACTGGTGTGCTGCTAAGTAATAACATTCATCTCTTCCAATGCCAGGACCGCACAACAAATTTATCTGCTATAATCACACAACTTGCATCCAAGGGTGCCAACATTTCAAGTGTTGCAACAGCAACTGGCAAGAATGTGTGGGTTGCTGTTAGGACTGCTGAATTCACACACAAAATTTCTGTTCCTGAAATAATTTCATTTTAATTGCCAACACAAGTCAAGGAAATTAACTTCTGCTATGTAGGACTTCACATACCACAAATTGTATATTCTTGAAAATTCAGTGGTAATTTACATCCCTACCAGTCCATTCTTGCAGACTGAAATGTCATAAACAATGTGTGTGTTAAAAAATGACATCCTCACTGATGAATTCACCTTTTCCATTGGCATAAACTTTCTATGAAAGAGTGACAAACTATAGAATGTGTACACTTACCAACTTCAAAATGTTTCTGTTGTAGTACCTATAATCACATTTGTAATTTTATATTAACTGAATGTGTCACATAACTTTAGCTCTGGAACAAGCAAGAGTTTCTCGAATAAAAGTCACACAATATCAGAATAATTTGATAGAAGATTGCAAGCAGTATGAACCATTAACTACAAATATGTCAAAAATACTTTCTAATCAAGGAATTGTTGGTTACACAGTGTTCCTGAAGTATATTGGTTTATTTTGCAGGTTTTTCATCTGAGAGACAAATGAAATTAACTGTGAAGTTATTCATGCTTAAAGCCAGTGAACAAAAATCATGGCCCGGTCTAAAACGATTCAATAACAAGTATTTTTTGTGTACTGTGCTGTCCTATTTATCACTTTATAGTTATAAACACACTTTCATGTAATTAAGGATTATTACTATCAAGTTTTGTATGACAATATATATGTTGCTGTATTCTTCTCTAAATAATAAAATATGTTTAAACAGTTGTAATAAGAGACTGGTTTTGACTATATATAGAAATAAAACTTAAATCTAAAGCACAACCTGTAACAGAAGAAGAGTGTGAATTAAACTGGGGGGGGGGGACAGAATGGTAAGGTAGGGAGGCACAGATGAGAAGACATTAACATGGGCCTTCATGAAACGGTGTGGACTGTGCTGATCTGGCTCAGGTCAGAGTCCAGCGTGAATGATGTAATAAACATTCAAGTTCAATAAGAAGTTGAGAATTGCTCAACCTGTTGAGCTCACTAATCTTTTCCAAGGATGCCATAAAACTGAAAGTGTCAATACAAAGAAATATTGAAAAAAATCATAATACATGATGCAGCTATGGTTTATGAAAGAATTTGGTGGTTCTTGTAATGAAGCTGATGCAGATACCGACATTAAAACTGCATGAAATGAAAATTTAATATCACGTAATTTTGTACAGTCTACAATGGTTCAACAGCCACAATGTGATTCAGAACCACTTTATATAACATTTAGCTGTTTCATTATCACAATGTCAATATACAGTAAACAATATCAAAATAAAATCTCCATTCTCACAAAGGTTGCAGTAAGCTGCAAAAATTACCACTTTTCTCTCCTTAAGTTTATTGACAGTCAACAATATAGAAATTCCACACACGAATATAACAAGGCACTGCTCAATTAGAGGCCAAAATATGACTCAGATCTCTCTACACATCAGATAAAATAACTCAAGAAAATGATTATCTTACAAGGTGGTTATTACACTGTTATTTTTAAATATAGCATTAAACCATTACATGTTGTGGAGATATTGGGTTTTCAGACTTTATCCATCGTCCTGGTTTTAAGATAACTAAGAAAAACACAACGTTTCGGAAACTGGATCTGTTTCCATCCTCAGGTGAGGGAAAACACCTATTCTGTTGGGTCCCTTAGAAAGAGCTAGCCTCAATCACTGGACTAGGTCACTCACCTGAGGACAGAAACAGATCCAGTTTCCGAAACGTTGTGTTTTTCTTATTTATCTTAAAACCAGGATGACGGGTAAAGTCCGAAAACCTAATATCTCTGTGTTATACACCATCGTCAGAATTTTATAGTAACTACTTATTACATGTTGTATTTCCTTCTTTCATCACCCCTTTCTCTATGTGAGTAATTGTAACAGACTGTTTACGTCTGTCAACAGAAAAAATATCAACTTCAAATGTTTCAGATATTTCTTCATGGAAAAATAATACAATGAATAATCTTCAATTCATGACGCTGCAAATGTGCTTGGAAAGTGGTTAATGAGCTGTGTTTATCATGGAATCCAACAGGCATATGGTGGCAAAGCAATGCCATATAATAAAAACCCAGTACTTTCGCATATGATTCCCACTAGAAGAAAAGTTTCACATGTGATTAACAGTAAAGGAATTTAGCCAGAGACTCTTTAACACATAACTACCAACAACTCTTCATTTCACAATTAAGCACATACAAAGATGAACTGCACAATGGATATAAACACAGTACCTTTTGTTTATCACACCGGATGATATGACAGGTAAACATAAATTCATATAATTTTATTCCAACCTTTAGGTTTAAGGGATAATTTAAAAATGTAAGTATCTTTGAGCTACAAATGAAAGATGTCCTGAGATTCAAATCCGATCATAGCCAGGGGTGGAACGGCACCCATTTATCACAAACGTCATTCCATCCTGCAGAAAGACATATTAAGCAGTTTTTAACACATTTAAAACAAGATTATAATATTCATATCATTGGGGGGGGTCAATACCTTAAATATTTCCAATGGCAAAAGATAATAACTATTCACAAATTTGATTTGTTTCATTCTGGTCCGTCACACTAATAGTATTATGTAAAAGTCAAACAGTTCCGTCCAGTGTGACTGGTTAAGATTTTTTTTTCTTATTTGAATTATTCATGCCCTTACACGTTTCGGTCTTAAGAAACCATCTTCAGAGGGACATCTTTACATCAATAAAGTTAGAAGCCACTATTACAGTACATGTTCTAAAAGTTAAAATATATACATACAATATAAATAACACAACACAGTGAGCCTCAAACACATACAGGACAACATTACAGAACCCTCTTCTCGAGAATGACAAGGTGGCAAACATTCGACTCCCCGTCAAAAGAAATAATAAGGGGGACAACACGAATCAGCTTGGTTTACAAATTCCAATAGAATGTTATCAAACTAACCATAAATATTTGAATGTACTGGAACAGCCGCTGTAGCTGTAAAGACTTTAGATTTTACACCCAATTGTATATTATTTATATTGTATGTATATATTTTAACTTTTAGAACATGTACTGTAATAGTGGCTTCTAACTGTATTGATGTAAAGGTGTCCCTCTGAAGATGGTGTCTGAAGACCGAAACATATAAGAGCATGAATAATTGAAATAGGAAAATAAAAATCTTAACCAGTCACACTGGATGGAACTATTTAACTTTTTCATAAAACTATTCACAAATTTCATGCAATTCTACACTGATAAGATTCTTTCCATCAAATTTAGGTTCAGCCCAGATTAAAAAATATATCACAGAAAATCACTTTACAAACAAACAAAGATACATATCAAAATCATTTTTATTTTACTCCAAACAATGCTCTGAAGACACTCTACAAGTGCAATGTGTTTAAAATAAAAAGTATACTTACTTTGACAAGATTTGGCAAATCTACCCAGAAGTCATAATTAGGAATCATTTCTCTTCCTGCAGCACCCCGAAGTAACCGCAATGCAACTGCCCCTCCAACAAAATACAATGTTGCAAACACAACAAATAGAATAACTAGCACAGAGCCTGTAGACAGACCACTGTTACTGGAGTTCTGTGAGGCAGTTTTATTTATTGTTAGTTCAATGACTGGACACGCCCATTTACTTTCAAGCCTCAATTTCTGCAATAAAAGCAAAAGAAGATCAGGTCACTGCCAACAACACTGCTGTGACACAAGCACATGTAATGAGGATGCCTGTGCATTTTATTGCAGTGAAAGCCATTCCATGGAAAAGGAGACTGACAAGTTTCCATGGTAAAGAGCTTGTATTAATTCAACAGAAAGTTTATATTAATGAAATTAAATTTATCAAATTGAAGATTTTAACACAAATGAGAAATAAATAGTATGGAATTTTTAACAGAATTCCACTTGAACACTCTGTTTACTTTTACCATTATATGGTAAAATGTGACTAAAACACACACTAAGTTTACAAAAATTTCAAATACACAATACATTTCCCACTCATCTAACTCTTCATATATGGACTTAACATGTGGTAACTAATTTAAAAATTATAAAATTCAACTAACTCTGTGTAGAACAGTCCACCTTGAAGAGCTAATGGCAACTCAGCTGGTCAATAAATTTTCTGCCTTTTATGAAACTCAAAAGATTCAACAGTCCACCAAGCTGGGATTTGGGGTAAACAATAATTCCTCAGCACAGAAGAGGAATGTGTTCCCTCTATCTTCAGGGCCTACCTCAAAAACGAAGTAATGCATCCCTCTAAAACACTGGTAAACATTTGTCAGATGACATGGCATCATATCCCACATGATATCTTTAGTGACCAATGTGTCAGGGCAGTCATGCACCCAATGTCTGACTGCCCCCATTTTCAGATGATTACAGGTGCACTGTCATTCAGAGATGGGTAAGTACGTGTATTTTTCCTTTGTTAACTTTAGCACCTTCAGGAATAAACTTGTGATGCCAGTTAAAGAAGCCTTTTGATAACATCTCCTCTTTCAAGTAATCTTGTCACAACTTCATGGCTTAGTGATATAATGACTTCTGTATGGAAGACTGTCATTCACTATCTGTCAGAGAAAGTCCAGATCTTATATGCTATAATTATAAAACTGATCATCATACAGTAATTTCACTGTTGACGCTACTCAGTCACCTTGTTGTCCATACACCATCCAAAACTTCAGCATCTCCATGACTGATTTTGCCAACTGGTGGCAATATTTGATACTAGCATGCTGCTTGAGATGATCCATTTCTCCACTTTAAAACCTTCCATGCATAACACTTTCAATGCCTGCTATATTAACTGCAAATGGATATCAGTGTGTACTGTGTCTATTTACTCTTGGTTAAAACTATATGACTTACATGAGTAACTTCCTTATCTTGACCATCTACAACACTGAATGAAGTCTGTGTACTGTAGACACATTGTAACAGAATTGCAGTTGTGCTGGAACAAGTAAGATTTATTTTCTATAATATTATTTGATATAAGGTACAGCATAAGGTAAAGTTGCATCTGGGCTTCAGCACTGGACGGAGGTAAGCAATCTCCTTTATACTCCGGTCACTTTTCCCCAGGCTGAAAGTAACCACTGACCTGATAGGCCCAAGAACCAATATGAAAACTGTGGGAGAACACTACCGCTGACCCAACTAGAAACAAAATTCTTGTCAATCAGTACACAGCCAGTCACTATATTGACTGAGCTATCTTAGCTCATCATTTGCTATATGCTCCTTTCATTGCTACCCATTTAAAACTAAACAGATGCACTGAATTCCTAAGTGAATAATGCTCTTCAGCCTGAATTTTTCTCCATTCATTTGATTCACTGACTATACTGCAACAGTCAAAAAGAAAACAAAGTGCCTTCAAATATTTACCTCAGCCAAAAAAGAATGCATGTTTGCAAAAGGATGAAGTGACACATAAATTATGTCTAATATTAGGCCATAAATGAACAGAAAAGCATAAGGTTTTCCATTATTGCTTGGCCAATACAGTTTTAATGGGCAGCACAGCAGCTTTGCTGTTTCCAGAAGCATAACTGGATAAGTACAGGAAAAAGTCTGACTGAAGCACCTGGTGCAATATTAGTTCTACAGTTGAGCCCATTGTGTTTCAATTGAACTGCGCACTAAAAGTTGGCATTTCAATAAATTAAAAACTGAACTGCAATACTGTTGTAAATAATAATCAGAGAATTAAAAAGATATTTTCTTACTTTCATGTCACCACCAGTAGCTAAGATTATACAGTGTAAAATGGTAGGACGGATGGATGAATTAGGAAAGATTTTGGAAAGAAGCTGCCATGACCTATTTGAGGTCTTACCCTTGCATTTATCTGGAAGAACTGTGGAAAAACCTAAGTCAGGATAGCCAGATTTGAACCAAGCACCTTTTGAACAGAAGTGTTACCATTACAGCCATCCACTCAATAAGAAAGTTACTGTTGCGGTCTCTTTCAGAGATACTGCATGAGCATTGGTTTGCAAGGTACAGGGGAAAACTGTTAAACTTCAATCAGTCTTGACAATCAAAATATGATTCTTGCTTGATGGCACTGGGAGTGTACATAAACTAAGTACGTACAACACATACTGAAAAGACTTGAAACCAGGAGCACTATCAAAGTAACACAGGGCTGTGGCTTCTGCTCAGCTACCAATAATTATTAAAGACAATACTTTTATGCATGTATAAGTTGGCATGCATTCATAGAGCAAGAACTATATTTTTACTGTTGCTTTTCTAGCTCAGTTTTGAGTAACACGCCCAGTTCATCTACTGATTTCCAAACAGTAAGCACATTATCACCATTTGGGCCTATTTTCTGCATTTTAATCAGTCCTTGAGTTTGTCATTGACAGAGCACTTCTCATCTTTAACATCTTCAGTCCTTTCTAGATACTGTATCTTAACCCAGAAAGCTACATGGTCCTTATACACTGTTTCATCTCCATAAATTTTTGACATATATCATAGATGACCCTGGCACTTATGGCCATTTTAACTTTAAACATAAACACTGCTGCTGTTAAATATTTACTGCTACTGCAAAAAAAAAAAACTGAATCAAAATGATATTACATTAACTTAGTATTCATGCAGTTGCATGTTTCAACATACACTGCCAAACAACCGCTACAACCTGTGGGATAATAAGATCAGACTAGTCACTTTATCATATTGTGGCACATAGACCCACTGCTAAGGCAACTCTGTACACAACAACCATTTCTGGGCAACAGCTTGGTAAACACATTCCTGTGGCAATGAATATGCATGCAACAACAGAGTTACTGCTGGAAATGGGATGTACCTACATGGTCAGTGCTGAGATGTTATAAGCAAGGGACAAAGTCAGTTAGTTGCAAGAGTGCTCAGTTGAAAGAGAAGACTTTATGTGTGATATTTGGAGTGTGTAATTCAATGACACTTTTATAGTAATTCCTGTGTTAAAATTTCTTGCCAGAAAACAGCTGGTGAAGACTGTAATAGACTGAGGGCACTAGTCTGGCAGTGTAAAGTGTAGTCACGAATCATGAGTATATAAGTGGCCAATCAATCGAGTCACCAATTCAAACCCTGTCTATAGTCACTCATGCAAATAACAATACTAGATAATATACTTACAATCCCAAACTACTTACATGTTTCCATGTTTATAAAGCAGGACAGGAGGATCTTTTAAATTATCAAATAAAAAACTGGCATCTTCAGTGGTTCCAAGATTCTGATATGCACTTGTTGTTCTGTTAAACAAACAGACCTAGAAAACCAGAACATAAAATTCTGTACAGAACTAGACAAAGACAGTTCATAAATACTACAAATATCTCCACATGGAAAATGATCACATAATTTAATTTATTATAATTAGGAAACTACTAGGAACCAAAACACTTAAATGGGGGAAGACAGCTAAATTCTGTTCAGTAGGATATGAGATTTTTGATACTTGGAATGTTCGAAGTGTGTACAGGGCAGGTTCGCTCAGGACAGTGGCAGAATAAATCTTAAAATATAAGTTAGATTTAGCAGGAGTACAGGTCAGATGGGATGGAGGTGGCATCGCACCAGCAAGAGACTATACATTTTCTATGGAAAGGGGAATGAAAATCATGAATTAGGGACAGGTTTTTTCATACATAAGAGAATCGTATCAGCAGCTAAGAGGGTAGAGTTCGTTAGAGATAGGATATCATATGTAATACTAAAAGGTTGCTGGTGAAATATCGTTATGAATGTTCACGCCCCAACAGAAGATAAAATTGATGACATAAAGGACAGGATTTATGAAGAACTAGAACATGTATTTGATAAATTCCCGAAGTACCCTATGAAAATTTTGCTATGAGATTTCAATGCCAAAGTATGGAGGGAAGACATTTTCAAACCAACAATTGGGAATGAGAGTTTGCATGAAATTAGTAATGATAATGGAGTTAGAGTAGTAAACTTTGCCACATCAAAAAGTCTTACTGCCAAAGTACATTGTTCCCACATCGTAACATCCATAAATTTACTTGGACATCTCCTGATGGGAAGATACACAATTAGATCATCCACATTTTGATAGATAGGAGACGGCATTCAAGTATAATTGATGTCTGATCATTCAGGGCAGCAGATTGTGATACTGAGCACTACCTGGTGGTGGCAAGGGTTAGGGAAAGACTGGCAGTGAGCAAACAAACAACGCACAGAATTCGTATGGAGAGGTGCAATCTCAAAAAATTAAATGAGGTAGAGGGTAAAGAGCATTATTGTGTTGAAAACTCAAATAGGTTCACGGCCTTGGAAAACTTGGAAACTAAGGTGGATGTTAATAAAGTTTGGGAAACTATTAGAGAGAATATAAACATTTCTGTCAAGGAGAGTATAGGATATTATGAACTGAAGAAGCATAAGCCATGGTTCAATGAAGAATGCTCAAAGTTACTAGACCACAGAAACAAGTCAAACTGCAATGGTTACAGGATCCAAGTGAAATAAATGGGGATAATCTGAACAATATAAGACGTAAACCCAGCACACATTTGAGGAATAAAAAGAGGAAATATCTGAAAGACAATATTGATGAACTTGCAATGAACTGTAAGAACAAGAACATTAGAGACCTATGGGACCCTCAACATCTCAGAACCCTACAGCCCTCCACGGCCTGTTACAGGGATAGCTTTACTTTTTTTTTTACATTAGAGACATGTAGAGAGGAATAAATGACTTTAAGAGGGGTTACCAGCCTAGCCCCTCGTTGGTGTCTCCACCTTATCGTGGTGAGCTATACCAGCGGTAGCGTAGCTACTGGCAGGGCCTCCCTTGCTGGACAGGTCAAAGGGTAGGCATCAGACGAAGAGAGACACCGAAAACTGATGCCGGAAGCAGCGTCATCAGCGGCGACTTGAAGCACAGAGAAAATGATGCTCGAGATGGTTCAAGTTCGTATAGCAACAGGCGTGACCAGAGTGGTTTGAACGGCTGTTGTACTGCGATGTGGAAAGCAAATGGAAAAACTACCACATTATCACTTTTCCTGGATAGTCTCTTTCCAAAAACAGAAGATCGCATTAAGTGGAGAAACTGTTTTGGAAGAGGCTGTGGACCTGTCGTCTGACAGATTACTACTAACTAACTAACTAACCAGCCTAGCAATAACTTAGTGAAGGATGAGAATAGTGATCTGCTTGCAGATTCCCATAACATTTTGAATAGGTGGAGAAACTACTTCTCTCAGTTATTGAGTGTACATAGGGTCAGTGATGTTAGGCAGACAGAAATCCATACAGCTGAGCCATTAATACCTGACCCCAGCCCTTTTGAGGTTGAAATTGCTATTGCAAAATTGAAAAGGTATAAATCACCAGGTAGTAATCAAATTTTGGCAGAACTTGTTCAGGCAGGAGGCGAAATATTACATTCTAAGATATATAAGCTAATTACGTCTATTTGGAATAAGTTAAAATTGCCTGATCAGTGGAAGGAATCTATTATTGTACCAGTTCACAAGAAGGGTAATAAAACTGACTGTAGTAATTATCAGGGGATATCACTGCTATCAACTTCATACAAAATTTTATCCAATATTCTTCTCTCAAGGTTTTCTTTTTTTATTGCTAGTGGGGTGGGACTAAGTCCCTTGTACTGTGGCCACTTCTGGCATACTGTACCAGCCTCAGATGATAGGTGAGGGTGATTGTAGAGCAATTGGTGGAATGAAGACTGGCAGGGTAAACCGAAGTAGCCAGAGAAAACCTGCCCCAGCGCCACTTTGTCCACCACAAATCCCACTTGACCAGACTCGGTATCGAAACCGGGCCACCGCGGTGGGAAGCCAGCGACCAACCGCTTGAGCTATGGTGCAGCCTTCTCTCAAGGTTGAGTCCATACATAGATGAAATTATTAGGAATCATCAGTGTGGGTTTCGATGTAAAAGATCAACTACAGATCAGATCTCTTGCATTCGTCACATATTGGAGAAAAAATGGGAGTACAATTAGACAGTGCATCAGCTATTTATAGACTTCAAGAAAGCCTATGATTCAGTTAGGAGGGAAGTACTGTACAATATTCTGATAGAGACTGGGATACCAACGAAACTAGTTAAGATGATTAAAATGTGTTTAAACGAAACTTAGTAAAGTCAGTATAAGTAAACATTTGTCTGATAAATTTCCTATGCAGAATGGTCTAAGACAAGGAGATGCTTTATCGCCACTCCTTTTCAACATTGCTTTAGAATATGCCATTAGAAAGGTCCAGGAAAACCAGGTGGGACTGAAATTAAATGGGCACAACAGCTGTTGGTCTATGCCGATGATGTGAATATAATGGGTGATAATATAGATACCATAAAGAAAAGCACACAGACTTTAATTGATGCAAGTAATGAGGTGAGTCCAGAAGTAAATACAGAGAAAACTGAGTATATGTTGCTGTCTTGTCACCAAAATGCAGGGCAATATCACGGCATAAAGATAGGAAACAAACATTTTGATAAAGTGGCACAGTTCATATATTTGGGAACGACGATAACAAATCAAAACCTGATTGAGGAAAAAATTAAGAAGATATTGATCTCGGGTAATGCTTGCTACCATTCAGTCCAGAACATTCTTGTCTACTGTCCAAAAACATAAAAATTAGAATATACAAAACTATAATTTTGCAAGTGGTTCTGTATGGATGTGAAACTTGGTCTCTGACATTAAGGGAGGAACACAGACTAAGGGTGTTTGAGAACAGGGTGTTGAGGAGAATATTTGGACGGAAGAGAAAAGAAGTGACAGGAGGTTGGAGAAAACTGCATAATGAGGAGCTTCATAACTTGTACTCTTCTCCAAGTATAATTAGAATGATCAAGTCAAGGAGGATGAGGTGGCCAGGGCATGTACCACGGATTGGGGAGAAAAGGAATGCATGTAGAATATTGGTGGGAAAGCCAGATGGAAAGAGACCACTGGGAAGACCAAGGCGTAAGTGGGTGAACAATATTGAAATGGATGTTAGAGAGAATAGGATGGTTTGGATTGGACTGATCTGGCTCAGGATTGGGACAGTGGAGGTGTCTTGGGAAATTCTTGAGGAGCTGCACAACTGGCGGCTTCTCAAAGAAGGGCTAAGCCCCATGGAGTTGGTCGGTTCAGACATACGAGTATATCCCTTTATACATTGAACGCAAAACCCACGACATTATAGTGGTCATATGGATGAACTTTGCAAGACCCAACTAATGCGGTCCACCTGTAATGGTCTCTAAGGAGAATTGCATTGTGCTTGGTGACATCAGTACCTCAGCAAGCATGTAGTTACAATCATTAACATTGGAATAAAAAATAGAGTGGACACATATCTTGCTCTGTCCACTTGACAACCGGTTCTAACCAGATTCAAAGTTCATGCAACAGCTGTGACTGGTACACTCGCGTACTATCCACGTTAAAGGCGGAGTCCACAATCTCGGCTTTACAACTGAGCTCATAATTATGTAACTGAGGAGAGCCTGTCATAGCTTACGCATGTCTCTGCAAGAATTACAAATTCTGCCATTACCCATTCAGAAATCAGTTTAAAGGAAGGATTATTAGAGTACAATCTGAACAAACACGTGTCTCTTGTAGGGAAGTTCCGACATTCGAGGAAACATTGTCTTGCATGTCAAGTTCTGTTGTTGCGTTAAGTACCATACCTAATATCCTGTTCATATAAGCTCTCTAGTGTCTGTATAACATGTTACCTGCATGCTCCGTCAGCATTCGTTTAACTCTCTATAAGACGAAGGTCGTGCAATTAATATTTTGAAAACAGTTATATAGTATAATTAGAAAGATCAAGTCAAGGAGAATGAGATGGGCAGGGCATGCAGCACGAATGGGGAGACTAGGAATGCATATAAGATATTGGTGGGAAAGCCAGAAAGAAAGAGACCATTAGGAAGACCAAGGTGTAAGTGGGTGGACAATATTAAAATTGACCTTAGAGAGATAGGATGGGATGGTATGGATTGGATTGATCTGGCTCAGGACAGGGACCAGTGGAGGGCTCTTGTGAACACGGTAATGAAACTTAGGGTTCCATAAAATGCAGGGAAATTCTTGAGTAGCTGCAGATTTGGCTTCTCCTCAAGAAGGGCTCAGCTCCATGAGTAAGAACTTACTGAACTTCCTGAAGTGCAATCATCGTTGCCTGTGTGATTACCAAATGGAACATTTGAACAACTGTGAAAAAAGTATGACACATTTCCCAGTGAAGCATTTAACCTGAAATTAATGCAAAACACTAGTATTAAGAAAATTTCATGTAAACTGAAATGCCTCAAGATAAAATGTTCATGTGCTTGGATCAACGTTTGTTTTTCTTTTTTATATAAATAACTTACCTAAAGTAGTGTAGGGCCGCGCCACAGCTCAAACAGTTAGTCCACTGGCTTCCCACCGCGGTGGCCCGGGTTCGATCCCGGGTGTAGTCAAGTGGGATTTGTGGTGGACAAAGTGGTGCTGGGGCAGGTTTTCTCTGAGTACTTCGGTTTCCCCTGCCACTCTTCATTCCACCAATCACTTCACAATCACCCTCACCTATCATCTGGGGCTGGTATAATAGGCCAGAAGTGGCCGCAGTACAAGAGACTTAGTCCCAACCCACTAGCAATAACAAAAATAAAATAAAATACCTAAAGTAGTAAATAATAATTCTAAGCCGGTCTTACCCGCTGATGATACCAGAATTATTGTTAGTAACCCTAATTTACTAGACTTTAAAAATGATCTTATTTCTTCAATTGATCAATTGAATGTATCATTTTACACCAATTTGTTATTATTAAATTTTAATAAAACCAAGTATATACAATTTAGAACTACTGATAGTCCAACAATTCAATTAGATATCAGTTATTCAATTCTTTATTATTTATGTGCCAAGTCAACAGCCACAAGGCCAATTACAGACACAGCACAGTGTAGATACAGGTAATTACATTATGGACAATCACAACATAAAGTCAAGGACAAATTACAGGCAAGCACTGGAGGAAAAACACATTAATGCAGACAAGTAAATAAAACAACAACAATAATAATAATAATAATAATAATAATAATAATAATTCATTAACATAAGTCTAAGTTGTTACTGAGAACTGAAAGGTATAAATATTTAATTGTGAAATGAAACATATAGATATTTAGAGAGGATAATAATAATAATTCAGTTTAATTATTTTCATATTCATGCAAATAAAAATAGCAACAATTATACTATATCTGAAAATCGTCTGGGAGAAATTTCCTGGCTCCGAATACATCAGCATCCCTGCAGATAACATTAGCAGCTGCTGCACATCTAGCAGAGGGACAATTTTTAGTTGAGGGGCAAACATTGAACAAAGCAAAGTCTCTGATATACCGAGCAGGAACTCGGAGACCACCAATTCCCAGAACAGAAGGGCAGAATTTCGGGCCAAAGTAAACTTGAGTAAGAAAGAGAGCATCAAGACGATGTCTCCTAGTATGTAAAGTGTGCACTTTTAACTCCTCCAGAGCAAGAGAATAATTGTAATGGACTTGATAGAAAAGATTAAAACAAAAGGCCACAAACCGCTGCTGGGTGTGTTCCAGCTTCTTGGCATCAATTGACGTAATCGAATTCCAAACTATGGACGCATATTCAAGCCTAGATCTAACTAATGCAATGTACAATTTGAGCATACAGTGCAGAGATGAGAAATAATGTTACGAACTAGACCCAACAGTTTAACACAGTGAGAGAAAATGTACTTGACCTGGTCATGGAAATATAGTTTAGCACCAATAAACACTGATAATATTTCCTTATTTAAAATAAATTTGGAGTTATATGATATCAATACCAGAAGTAAAAATAATTTTTACTGTTTACAACCAAGGTTGTCACTTTATATAAATGATGTTTATTATATGGGTATAAAGGCATTTAATCACTTACCTTCTTACATAAAGAAATTGTTAGATTGTTAAACGATAAGAATGAGTTTAAAAATACTTAAAAAAATTACCATCCACTGAATTCTTTTTATTCACTGAAGGACTTTTTAATAGCAAACACTACTCTTAATGGTATATTTTTATCCATATGTTTTATGCAACATTAGGTGCTTTATTTTTGTATAAAATATATAACCAACTACTTCCCAGCATGAAGACTTGTATTAAATTTAAGACGTTGCCATGTGCAAAGTACGAAGATAAATCAGTTTGGTTTATTGTTTCATCTGACCTTAATTTCCATAAAGCATGTGTATTTTTTACTAAATTCTCTAATTTTCTAATTGCTCTGCTACATATTTATTGTACATTTTATTGTATAGGTTATCTGTTTGTGACTGGTTTTATATCCATCAGGGGTACTCTGTGGACTCGATTGGATCGATGGAATTTTACAATAAATGAATGAATGAATGATGTAGTGTAAGTGGTGGAAACTGAATGTAGAGTAACACGCTGGCATTCAGGAAGATGAGGATGCTCCTAACACTCCAACTTATACTGAATCCTCTAACAAGATGCTGAGGTGCTGGCAGATTTGGATCACTGCTCATCTATTCTATAAAGGTTCACCACCATACACAACATACTTTTCATTTTAAACCTAATACCCATAAATAAACAAATAAGTTACAATTAACCATGGTTTATGAGTTTTTACTATACCTAAAAATTGCAAGAAGAACCCATTTACTGCTAAGATATCAATGATAAACCACTGCAGTGATGTCGTTTGTTATTGGGTTCTCCAAAGAAGGATTACAAAAGTGGAAAGGTATAAGCCAGACTGGGGTGCATGTCTTTTATGACTATATGTACATACCTCATCATTGATACAAATCTTACAGCAGGACAATAAAATGTACTTCTTCATATCTTCAAATGTATTGTGGCATGTAGACCCACTGTTAGGCAACAACCGCGAAATAAGCAACTATACGACAGCCGTTGATATGTAACGGCTCCACAAACAAGCATGCTTCTACAGCAACAAGAGAATACAGTAATAACGGAAGAGGTGTTTTCTACATGGTCCATGCCGATATGTCGCTGTGAGAAGATGGAAGACGAGGCTGGGGACAGTCCATGAACACAGAGGAAGGGGAATATCTGCTGTTGGAAGCTGCTATCAAGCAACAGCTACTGAAGACTGTAACTGACTCAGAAAACCTAATGTGTCCTATACTGACCTGTGAAGTGTGTAGAACAGTGACAGCATAATCCTTATTTGTACTTATGGGCTGTAGGAGTTTAATAAATCTGATTACCAATCCAAACCATGTCTTTAGTCACAAATACCATGACAGCATAATTTCACTGATTTAAGTTTTGTATACAGTAAGGTAAAGTTGTCCTTGTGCCAGTCATGGTAGCCGAGCGGTCTAAGGCATGCACTGTCTTTGCTCGCTCGGAAGCCGCGATCGTGGGTTCGAATCCTACTCAGGGCATGGATGTTTGTGTGCATTTTTCTGTGTTTGTTTACAGGTATAGGCCTTGCGATGAGCTGATCACTCGCTCAAGGAGTCCTACCGTATGTGTTAGATCTAGAAAAACCAAGTGAACGGAGAAGTTCATGGAGGTAGGCCTCGGCCCACTGGGGCTGTAGTGCCAAGGGGGAGGGGGAAAGTTGTCCTTGTGCTTAACCAATTAAGCACTATGCCATAAAGGCGTATGGGGGAGTAGATGCATAAGTCCATATTTTCTTGACCATGGCACTAGTTGGAAGTGAGTGGTCAGCTTTACAATCCTGTCGCTTTACCCCTGGGGAAGAAGCCCCTAGTACCCATTGAATAGCAGGTTGGGTGGACGATTTGGAGAAGAGAAAATTCTTGCTCCCACTGGGACTGGGACAAATTCCAGCCCCTCAGTCATCCAGCCCGTAGCCAGTCGCTATTACGACTGCACTATTCCAGCCTTATTTTGTATACAGTACCTGTCTGAAATATGCTGAACTCTTTTCTTCAAGAATCTTCAAGTTCTTCATTGTGATATTCATTCTCCAGCCATTATAACTTATATTTAAATATTTATAGAATCCTATAAATGCAATGACTCACAGTAACCTTCAGTATGTTTTCATGAAACTTACTTCAGTTACAACTACCAATATAAAATTATCTATTTATTTTCTCCCAATAATTTATATTATTACCTTGCTATTAGAACACTCCTTTTATACAACATTTAAACCAACAAGAGAAAAAAAAACAACTGAATTCTGATAGTCCAGGGTTCCCCAAGTTCTATGTTTCCATGACAGAGTGGCAGGCACCAACCAATTAACATCTGACCAGATAAATATATGAGCACTACATAATACATAAGACCCATGTGGAGGCAGGTTAGAAAACTTCACTGTAGCCCTGCGAGTCATCAAAGATGACAAAATAGAACCTGGTGCCTGCGCATATATTTGGGCCACTCTGTCACTAGGCAACATGAATACAGAGACCTGGTCCTCCAGACTGGGAACTGGGTGCAAGGCTGATCACCTTGATCTGTAAACATTTTTTTAAAAATCCAAAGAAGTGAAAATCAGATGATTAAATTCTAGAGAAATCTGCACGATCTTCAAAGGAAGGCTATGACCCAAAAAGGACTGCTTTGTCAACAATGATAATACACAGGGCAACACATTTAATGTTGCAGGACACCACAAAATAAAAAAAAAATGCTTTCCCATGTAGAAGTTATAAACTAAATCCTTTGACAAGTTGGTCCATGATTCCATCTGAAATCCACACTCACACGGAAAGTTAGTTAGCGTGAACTTAGGTAATGTATTTCTTCGGCCAGTTTTTCAAAGGTGGGAGGGTAGGATGACATCCCTGTTCACAAGCAGTCATCAAAATAATATATATTGATTTAATAATATTTGCTGTTGAAAAGACTGATTTGCACAGGCAAGTGGAACCACAATAAGATTTGATCTTGTACACTGCACTTTTTAAGGAAGGAAATGTTTCTTCTGACCATACTCCAAAAGTTCTCATGTGCTGCACTGGATGTCAGAAGAACATAAGGTCCAAAATCTGTGGTTCCACTTCTTTCGCCCTTGCCAGAGGGTGTCTTCCAATGGATGCAGCAGTCAGGCAAGTAAAGAGACTTGCAAAACAGGCTACCACTGATAATGAACTGTTGAAATCTCTTTCAGACTTTTCCAAAAGTATTCAAAAGTGACCAAAACAAATGGTAATGAGCTGAAATCACTCTTACCTATCACATATTTCATATTTGAGAAGATGCTTCATCTTCATATTAAGACACCCACAAACTGTTTTTGCTTTGAATGGTAATTCTAGGTTAGTGTCCGAACACCTGTGTATGTAAGAAAGACACCAAGGGAAGAACATGGTTTTCAAATGTTTGAAAACAAAATGCTCAGAATAATTTGTACCTGAGAGGGATGCAGTGGATTATTAAGGATATTAATCCACTGCATCCCTCTCAGGTACAAATTATTCTGAGCATTTTGTTTTCAAACATTTGAAAACCATGTTCTTCCCTTGGTGTCTTTCTTAAGTACACAGGTGTTCGCAACTTCACGTCATCCATTACGAGGTTAGTACTTAGATCATTTCAAGTGAAAAATGTTACACCAACATAGGTATATTTCTGAACGGTTACAGAGTTATAGGTAAAGAAAGTTACAATGATCTGAATATGACAAATATGTTACATAAGACGGATAATGGTTGTACATTATTTTATATATAATATTATATTTTGGCATCCTGTTACACTCACACAATATATATGGATAAATACCGTCTTAAGTGCAACAAATTTTATTGTAGTTTTTACTACAAAAGGAGGAAAAGAAGTAAAAACTACAATAAAATTTGTTGCACTTAAGACGGTATTTATCCATATATATATATTGAACCTTCACTGCTGTAATTCACGAGTCTTGGCCACTGATGAGTGTGTTCTGGGAGTCCTGAACATGACACCTTCTAGTGTCCCTTGCAAGTATAGGGGAGAACATGGGGTATAACAATGAGAGAAGCAAAGAGGGTATCAAGATTTGACACTCACTCTGCAAGAAGCTCCCTTGCCATACATGTCCACATACATAAATTTTAATCAGAAATGTGAAACAGAGATCTTCAGATCAGAAATCTTGTTGCGAGAGAGTGACATATATTTTGTACAGAAAAGCATGAAAACCATTTGAGACCAAAGTAAGACACTTGGTTCTGGGCATGTTATAACCTTGTATGTTGATGACCCTTTCTTTTGCAAGACGGAATATAGTGAGATCATCTTTGAAAGAGCAGTGCATGTTGGATGAAGTCAATAAATGAAAGAATACTTTCAGGCAACTGTGGAACACAGAACATCAGAAACATTGCTTCAAGTTCTCAAGTAGAAATTCCTTTAGAGAAAATATACCGATATTTAAAGGCATATGATTTTGGGCACCTGCAGATTTCAACACCTACCAGTAAATCTCTCAGTAATTGTCAAGGTGAAGAGCATGGGATGATATACGAATATTACTGAAGGAATATGGCAGCATACTATGCACTGCAATAATTACATCAGACTACTGACTACTGTATGTGGGGCTCTCTACCAATACAGTGTACATATATAGATATCACAGTCATATATGTATCACATGAAATAGACTAGGGTATACTCAGATTTGTCAGGTTTTTGTGATTCCCTTGTGGCACTACGTGTGAATCTTTATTTTAAAAGAAACCAAGCCATCCATCATTTATCTGCAATTCAAGGAACTCGGTACTTCAGTCTGACTGGTTCTCTGATTGAATTTTTTCAGTAGATACTCATGTTATTAGTCAATGCACATGCTGGTGATGTACAACTGTGAATTGTGTCCAGTACTGCCCAGTCTGAATCACTGGTGAGTTTTCCATGGTTACATGGAGAAAATGAGCAAGGCATCACTTGCAGTTGGAGTTATATGTGGGAAATAACAACTGCCACTTTTGGTAACGTTTCTTTAAACCATTTCGTATGTGAACTGTAAACTGGTTTATGAGACAGGTTAGAATGAGTGTTCTTCATTTCATGCACCAAATATTTTTTTATTATGTTGAAACGTCCACTCAATCGCAAGGGGGAGCAAAGCAATTTTACTACAGTAGCATTACATTTTATCCTACTTCTCTTATACTGCTGGACTGCACTGATTTTGTCTGTTCTACACGTGTCCCACTTTTAACCCCAGGTGGGTAACCGACAGTAAAAATAGCGACGCTGTTCAACTTTTCTACATTTACGGAAAATGAGCATAAAACGGGCCATATAATGGGTAAATGTGTCCGATCTGCCTACAAGTACCACATTTTGGCAGGTTCATTTAGCAGTTAAGGGACTATACATCGTCATTGGGAAAAACATAAAAATTACTTAATAGGTTAGGTTTCATAAACTCACCACTTCGCTTCATTATTGAGTCGAGTAAGATCTATACGTATACCACCTGACAATACACATTTGCACCCATTAATCTTTGTACACTTAATATTTTCATCAGAAAAGCTCAGAGAGCACAGACTCAAAACACATAAATAGACTAGCAACCCCTGCAAACCTAACATCAACTTCATCGTCGCATGTGGTCCCATGATCATAGCACTGTCACCATCATACCCAGAACATATTCCCCTAGGGCCTCCATGAAATTTCTCTCCCAGTTTCCAGTTCAAAAACTGAATGGATATGAAGATATTTCGATTGCGAAGATTTATTTAGTGTACAGCTGTCAAACATGAGTCCTTCAGAGGATACTGACTTTTACTTTCAATAGGTGAAATGGAAGAATCAAAAGGTGAAATGGATGAAAATGAAAGTGTGTGAAATGGTAGAATGCAAAATGGACGCTTGCGAAGCATTTAAACGAAATGAGAACGTAATGAAAAGGCTCCAGCGCTCTTGAATTTATGAAGAATGTGTCCTGGGGTAAAGCGGCCGGAACATCAAACATCAATATAATGTCGAAACTACAAAACGAATGTTCCTAAAAGAACTAAACGTTAGCCTACTGTAGCAGTCAAAATTAGGAGACTTTAATTAATTTGGTCCAATTAGGCCCTTTGGAATTAATTATATTCAGCCTTTAATTGGTTAATTTGTGAGACTGTTGGTTGTATTCTTTGTTTAAGGAGGAGGTTTACAGCACATCTTGAATTAAACTGCAAAACAGAAAGCTAGCCCGAGTTAACTGCAAATATGAAACCAGGGTGAGTGACCACAGCTCTTTCGAAATTCTAAACTTTGGCTTCAGCAGAAGTCGTAATTCTTAGGAGGGATGTTTTGTGGACCCACACTATTCCATATATTGGGAATAAGTACTATGCAGCCACGATGTAGTTTCAAAATTTAACATATTTCTTAACATCTTCAGAATTTGTGAGGCAAGTTTTTTCACCAATATGGAGAATAGGATGACTAAAAACAATAAATATGTAGCAAAATGGATCGAAGTATCTTTTAAACATTAATGAAATGTATGCTTAAATATCCACCCTAGTAAGAAACAAACAATGACAATTCAGTACAGTATTTATTGCATAGTTATAACTCAAGTCATTAAAGAGGCAGAAAATATTCATTACAATAAACAGATATTGGAATAAACAATAAATAATAGCAATCTGGAAAATTGAGAAGAAGATAAGAGGAAAGTAATTTGCAGAAGGAGGGAAAGTGACAGCAAACATAAAAGATAACATAATAAAACATTCTAAACACACAGCACCCTCTTGAAATATTTACTTATTACGATTATAGAAACAATGAACAATACTACTAACAATGGTGATGCTTCTTTGATATATTATATATAATATATTGTCACGTGAGACACACCCAATATGTGACAATAATATTATTATATTATATATTGATATATTGTAATAGTATTACAGATACTCATAAATTTATGCGACAGTTGTATGCTGTTATGGAAATGAAGTTGCAGAAGGTGAATTCACATAAGTCACACTTAAATTTCTCTACAAGAGTCAATGAAAATGACAGAGATATGCTACAGATCAATATTCTTGCCATTACTTAAACTGATTATCTTGTGCAGTACAGTAGAGTGAATCAATCATTCATCTTTGGTTGCTTCTATCCTCTGATTTCTCATGTAACAGTAAATGTACAGGAGAAGTTAAATGACTGTGCCAAAACCCCCCTACTTCTTTTGCTTCTCCCCTTCAACTATGTCAACCAGTCAGCAAACAGTTTGCATTACAGCAGATGCTGTTAATTGAATTTTGTCTGAATTAGTTGATCAGATTAAAATTAATTCACATTTTATGAACTCACATATAACGTGAAATACCTGTACTTAGAGGTAATACTATATTATCGAAGATCTCTCTCTATATATTATATTTATATTTGTATTGGAAAGAAGAATTTATTTTATGACATGTTCTACATCTTTGGCTTAGACCTATGAAGTTTGTATGGACTGCAAATGAATTCTATCCTTTTATATTATATCAAACCAGCATTATTCCTAATTTTGGTAATGTGCTGTTTCTGTAATATATATTGTGCTATTGTTACATTAATTAAGTGAGTGTATAAGATGTGACATGTATAAAAGTACAACAATAACAATAATAACTGTATGACCTGCAATGAATCCTAATATTTTTAAATCCCCCCTGATGACAGGACTCTTTACAGGACTGCAGGTGAAAGGAAGAGAACAAAGCGTCAAAGAATAATAATTTATCTTCATTAAACATTCCCTAAATTCATTCATCAGTAATCTGTTAGACGACAGGTCCACAGTCTCTTCCAAAACAGTTCCTCCACCTAATGAGATCTAGAGCTTTCTCCTTCAAATGAGAATATCCTTTTCTGTCCCCAAGGTCATCCAGCATCTTCTTATGTCTTCTTCCTCGTCTTCTGGTCACTTCTATCCACCCCTTTATCTTTCCTTCAATAACTTCTTTTAGAAGGCAGTTACTGCATAAGATATGACCAATCCAATTAGCCTTCCGTTTTCTTATTTCATGTAGGATATTCCTCTACTCACTGACTCTAAATAACACTTCTTCATTTCTCACATAATCGGTCCAACTGATCTTCTCCATCCTTCTCCAACACCACATTTCTAAGCTTTCCAGGTGTTTCTGACCTACTGCCCTGTGTGTCCAAGTTTCAGCCCCATACAAAGCCATCCTCCAAATGTTCACTAGTTTCTTTCTCAAATTTAAGTCCAATTTGCTGGTAAAAAGATTCTTCTACTTGCTAATTGCAGCTTTTGCCATGGCAATCCAGGATTTAATTTCACAAGTACACCTTCCATCATCTGTTAATAAGCTACCCAAATATTTAAAACATTTCACATTTTCCAGTTGTTTTTCGTCTATCATTCCCTAGATATGAACAGTTAATTACAGTTAATGAAAATCTAGAAGGTTTCCTTGAAACAAATGCGAATCACTGTATTTGTGACCAAAGAGAATGCTAGTTCAAGTCTGATTCGAGGATTAAATTCATTATGCGTTGTTTTCAACATATTATATAATTAGAACAAGCAAGTCAAGGAGGATGAGATGGGCAAGGACTGTAGCACAAATGCGGGAGAAGAGGAATGCATGTAGGATAGTGGTGGGAAAGCCAGGAGGAAAGAGATCACTAGGAAGGCCAAGATGTAGGTGGATGGATAATATTAAAATGGATCTTAGATAAATGGGATGGGTTTGTATGGACTGGATTGATCTGGCTCAGAATAGGGACCAGTGGAAAGCCGTTGTGAATACTGTAATGAGCCTTTTGGTTCTGTAAAATTTTGGGATGTTCTTGAGTGGCTGCAGAACTGGTTGCTTCTCAAGAAGGGCTCAGCTCCATGAAGTTACTTTCAACATACTGTAATATGGTAGTTATACCTAACAAGATGCACTCTCTCTCCTAGGAGTACAGACTTTAGTAAGAAGAGAGCAGCAGCAGTAAGGCTCTCTGTTGTTAATACTAATTTTAAGTTAACAGTGTTACTGCCATTTTAATCCAGTTTTGGTAATGGTGATTCTTATTAATATATATGTATATATATTTGCTGTTTGTATATTTCATTCATATTGGCAAAGGCCATACATCTCTTATCATACACCATTGTGGGATGTAGAAATTTTGATTTATGAGCACAGAGTTGTGGGGCACTTCGTACTGGAATACTGCAGATAGAAATGACATGTTTTGGGATGAGGAAAGAGATGGAGGAGTGTGATATTTGACATAACTGGTTGTTGTTATTGTTTTCATTAGGCAGTAATGGCTGAGCAGAACAAATGATCTCAGTGTAACTCAGAAAAATTAAAAGGAGCTTTTGCAATTTGGGAATAAATAGTAGTAATAATGGCTTTCCTAGGAGGATATTCAGAAGTCACATGTCATTTGGAGTCATTTACAAAAAATTAAGCACCTGTTGTATTGAAATTCTAAACAGATATTCATAGGCTTGCTGAACTTGGTGTACCTGTAAGAAGCATAAATTTTAAAAGAAGAATGGATACGTACTCAATAAAATAAATATGATTCAATAGTACTGCACATGCATACCCACTGCCATCTAGTGACAAATGTATTAAGACAGTATGTTCAGATTTCCCATTGACGTACAAATGAATACAGGACATATGTTTAAAATAGAATCTAGTGACTTTTTAATGGGTAGAGTCGGTTTAGCGATGGGCTCGGTAATTGGGTTCGAATCCCGATAGGGCAAGATTTTTGTTTTCTCCATAATGTCCAGACCAGCACCGGAACCCATTCAGCCTCCTATGCAATGGATACCGGTGGGTAAAATGGCTAGAGCGTGAAGCTGACCACCCTAATATATCTACTGCCGAGTCCAAGAATAGTGGAGCTGTGTCGCCACTGCACCATATATTCATGACATAATTCTTAATTAGGCACAAGGACAATGTTACTTCTATTTTTACTTTTAAAGATTACGTCATTAACCGAAGATGTCGCACTCTGGTTCGTCCTCTGGCACAACTTTAGTAAGGAGGTTGCTTATTTGAATCCACATTTTTATCAGTTGCAAATTTCCTTAATGGGCACTGAACATAATATGCAGTGAGTTCTAATCACATGTACATGAATTTTATACATAAATTAGCACAATTTAATGCCGATGTATTATGACTCAAATTCTGAACTTAGCTAAGGTGTATGTTAATATGCATTTGTCAAATTAACTGAATTTCGTACAGGATTCGAGGTTCCCGCTCTGGTGGTTGTGAAGAGTTCTATCTTCTGGGATACGAGCATAACGCTTCGTAGTTAGTTGAAAGGCAACCGACCTTACGGAGGAACATGTCGCCTCTATCTATGCTGATAAGCAGACCATTCTTATTACCTTTTTCATGATATTTCTTGCCTGGATTGTTCTTCGACCCTGAATATATAAGCGAAATTTTTCTCCAAAATGTAAGTTGGCTCTCAACGGACTGTACGGCGTTACATCCTAGAAGAAGGAACTCTTCTAATTGAATTTCACATTAAGCAAAATATTGTGAATATATTTACAACTCCTAGTGTATAAAAATTGTTCGATGACAAACAGCATGTTAATGCATAGGTCTACAGATTGAAAGT